GGTTGAGAGGAACAGTGGAAAAAGGCCCACTGGGAAAAATAAGGCATGGAGGGAAATGAAATCAGATTGGTGACATGCAAGAAGGAATATATTAAGGAATTACAGATTTTTATGTGCATATGGTGAGTAAAGCTAATTGTGCTAATTTCTGAACAGCAAGAACAATAATCAATGCTTCTGTCTAAGTGTATTTCTTACTGATCAAAGATTGAGACGTGGAGTGTGGCTACAATGAGTCAAACAGAATGTTGACAAGGCACTTAGATAAAAAAGAATAAAACGATGAAGCAAGAAACGTAGTGTCATGAATTTTAGAAACATTGCAGCCAATTTGCAGACAGCAGGTGACAGGGAATGCACAGAGAGCCCTGTCCCTGTGCACAGAGAGCCCTGGCACAGCAGGACCTGTGGCACAGCCAGGTGACAGGAATGCCCAGAGAGCCCTGTCCCTGTGCCCAGAGAGCCCTGGCACAGCAGGACCTGTGGCACAGCCAGGTGACAGGAATGCCCAGAGAGCCCTGGCACAGCAGGACCTGTGGCAGAGCTGCCCCGAGAGCAGCAGAGGCTGTGACAGGTGGGACTGGGGCTGAAACTCAGGAGTTCATTTCTCCTCAGTGCTTCCTTCACAAGCCAACAGAGAAAACACTGCTGGAGATGTGCTGCAGCACCAAACACCGGTCAATATCAGAGCCCTGCTTCTAATGGTGTTTGTAGTAGAGATTATCAACTATTCTGCTGTCAGTGCATGAAATGTCTTCCTTCAGATTCACCCAGCTGCCTTGTGTATTTTTAATGAGAGTTGGCACAGTTCTTCACAGAGAGCTGTGGGAGCTGATGGAGATTTACCGGATGGATTATCCTTCTGGGACTCCCACAACAATACGTGTGCTATTTCTATCCATTTTGCTCTAAAATAGATGGGTATGTCTTTAAAATGAGCTGGCAAATTTCTGTGCTAATGAAACTAAATTGAACGATACACAGAACTGGTGTTACTAAATCTGTGTGTGAAGGCCCAGTTCTGAGAACCTCCACAGCCTGTGGACTGCTCAGCCTCAGCCTCTAAAAATGCTGCACTGCAAAGCTGCTGTCCTACCCAAGAGACATCACCTGAGCCAGTGCTGAGATTGCTTTTAGTGTGGCTGGGCACTGGGCTCACAGCCTGGAATGCTCTTCTCCCTGATCCTTGCATCTGGGGAGCTCAAACACACACAGAACTTTCTAAATTCCCAGATTCCAGTGCTTTTCAGCAGAAAAAAAAATTTGGATTTCCATACCTTTAGGTCCACTGCTACTCTTATTGTTGCTATTCAAAGTGATTCTGCCAGCTATAACCCCTTAAGAATTCTTTCTCATACAAAGAAATATCTATTTATTCTCTTATTCCAGTTTTGGGGTTTTTTTGTCAGTCATTTTAAAAATAATTTATCAGTTGTCTTTTCAGTGAAAAGTGATCAGTAGGGCTTTGTCCAGCTGCTCAGCCTCATTGTTTTGTGTGGTTCTCTGGTGCTGTGTTTTTCTAGTTGAAGTTCTTTGTCAAGCCGGTGGATGCTGTGACTAATTTGGCTAATTCTGGAAGAAAGGATTACGCCTGGATGCTGTGCTGGTGTTTGAGTCTCAGTAAAAGATTACAATGAGTGAGTGGTCTGGGTTAGACAGACAGTTGGGTGGGATGATACCTTCTGGCCTCCCAATAATGGGATCTTTTTGTGCCTGTGTGCTTTGGGCTTAACTTCTGAGCCAGCCTCTAATGTCTCGTGCGTGATTCCAGATGCAGGGCACTCCATGCTTTGCCATGAATGTGTGTCCTGGATAAATGGGAAAGTGCCTGGTGGGGCTTTCACACAGAGTGTAGAGATGTTACTGGGACACTGCAGTAGTGCCAGGCTTCCTAATTTAGACAATTCTCATGGCAGTTAGCTTTTTTTGGTAGAGTTTCATATTGTTTTAAAGAGTGACATTTATTATTTCTGGAAAAAGAGGAACTTTAAACCCCTCCTCATTACAGAATGATACTTGGAAAAGTAACTGGTGCAGCTGAACACCATTTCCCCCTCCACTACCTAACCCAGAAAACAAGGAAATAAAAAACAATATTAGGTTTAAAACATTAAGTAACCTGAGGTTTTTTATAGGGTCTGGTTATGATTCTCTTTGCTCAGGGTAAGACACCCCAAAACTCACAAGTGTTCTGATTGCCCAGCCCAAGTGAACACAGAGCCATGGCCTCGCTGCATGCATGCTGGCTGCGCTCCAGCCTCCCTCTGCCCTGCTCCTGGGGAAGGGGAATCTCCCTGGCCATGCAGGAGCTGGGGAAGGCTTCTCTGGCATGCAGGGGACCTGGACTGGAGGGCTGCTGTAGTCCAGCTCCCGTATTTAGCCAGTAAAAGAAAGTTTTCCCTTAATTCCCAGCTAACTGATACTGATGGAGTGAACACAGTAGGAGAGAGCAGGGAGCTGCCCCAGGAGAGTTCAACCCTCCCAATGCCCTCACCCTGATCACCATGGCTGTTAGTACTGGTATCAGAGATCACACCCGATTTCCCCCCAGCTTTACCTTGTTGTTTGGCTGAATTTGCTCCTTGTGGGAAAATGTGTTTCTGAGCAGAAGTCAGTAAGAGTACAGGGATGCAATGGTCTCAGGAGGGTGAAGCTTCTGCCAGGGGACTGCAGCCCACACTGCCCAGGGAAGGAGGAGAAGCAGCAGCTGCTGAGGAAACTGATGGGTGCAGGGCAGGCAGTGCCCACCATGAGGAGAGGGGACAGGAAACAGCCTGGGGTTTTTCAGAGAAGGGTGAGAGGAAATTGTGACTTTGGAGTGGGAGTTCTCCCTCAGCATGGGCTGTGAGCTGCAAAGGACCGACTGCTCCATGCGTGTCTGTGTGTGCAGTAATGAAAAATGCAGCTTTACCTGGGCTGCCTTGTGAGATGAGCAACTCAGATACTGTGTCACCACTCCTCTTATCAGAGAACATTAGGTTTCAGCAATTTCCATTACTATTTTTATCCCTCATTGTGTGCAAATACACAAGGATTTTAGTGACAGCAGAGTCATGTTTAAGCTGCTTGGAAGGCTGGAGAGCAAGGTATCTTATTTTCACCAGTCCATCTAATGTCATTTTTACAAGCGAACCATATTGCTCCGACAGAATCAGAGCAAGTTTTTTGTAAAGACATTTTCTTAGAGGATTGAATAGTTGCAATTGTTGGAGAAAGGTGCTTAGGTGCTGGATTAGGAATTTGCAGGATCAAAGTAGCAGTTAAGATGCCAGGGAACTCATCCAAATCACAGCATAGCTGATATTCTTTAGGGAATACTGGACTGTTTTGTATCCAGCACTCTTGGCCCCACGTAACTTAAAACCTGAAGAATTGAAATGATTGAACCTATTGGGTGGTAGCTGTGAGGGTGTGGGTGCCCACAGCCCATGCAGGGCTGCATGCCCTGGCCCTGTGGCCCCTTGTGGCAGGGGGTGATGCCAGAGCAGTGCCACAGGAGCCCCTCTGCAGCCCCGGCCACCGTGGAGTCACCCGGGTGCACCTGGGCGTCCGGCCCGTTTCCCTGGCACCTCTTGGGAGCAGCCTGACAGAGGAGGGGCTCTGGCAAGGAACTCCAGCTATTTGTGATCTCAGTTACACAGAAAATGAAGGGGATGGGTCTGCTTGTGGGCTTGGTTGTTGCTTTTAACCCGTGAGAAGCTGTGGGGATTGCTGCCAGACCGGTCTCCTTGAGCTCCAGAGTGCAAATGCAGAGCATGACATTCATCCTGTCCCAGCTCCAGGGCCCAGCCTGAGGTCAGTGAGGGGGAACTGAGCTACAGCTCTGCTGCCCTGGAGGTGCATCTGCCTGGCTCCTGTCCTGCCTGGGCTCTAGACAGGGAACAGGAAAGGTAACAGTGGAGCAGGCTCCTCAGACTCAATAACTGACAGGGAAGCTGGTTTTCCTTATCCAGATGCACAGCTGGGGCTGGAAAAGATGCCAGGGAACTGACATGTCTGACCCATCCCTGGAAGTGTTCAAAGCAGCCTGGATGGAGCTCTGAGCAATCTGTTCTAGTGGAAAGGAGCAGGGGGTTGGAATTAGGAGATCTTTAAGGAACTTTCCAACCCAAGCCATTCTATGATTACATTATTTTCCTATCTTTTCCTAAATACTAATGTTTCTATTTAAAAACTTTTCTGAAAATCACTTGTCTTTGGGAGAAATTTATGAAGGGCAGAGGTGTGAAAATTAAATGGCATATTTTACTTAAAGGGCAAATTTTAATTAAAGAAAAGGAGCGACCTTTTTTTCAATATTTTATTTAAGAAAACTAATTTTTGTTTTAACAGTACAAAAAAAATCTCCTGATTCGGCCACAACAAGAAATGTTCCCACAAGAAAATGTGAGGGGGTTTTTTCCTCCATTTTATATATATATATATACATATATATATATATATATATATATATATATATATATAAGAGTGTGTGAAACACAGCTGCCCACGAGCCCAAAAGTGCAGCACATCCTTTTAACAAGACGTTAATAATAAGGAATAATACCTTAGGTAGCTGGAATGCAAGAGCCTGGCCCAGAAAACCCAGCAATGCCCTTCTGGCTGCTGCAGACACGCCCTGGCACCGTAAGCAGCCAGGGCTGAGCCTAGGGATTGTCCCTACAACACATCCTGCTGCAGTGCTGGGAGGGCTCACACGCCCTGGCACCGTGAGCAGCCAGGGCTGGCAAGGGCCTGAGCCCTGGATTGTCCCTACAACACATCCTGCTGCAGTGCAGGGAGGGCTCACACGCCCTGCCCCAGCCCTCGTGTTCCCAGCCCAAGTGCAGGGAGCACTTGGTCAGGGTGACCCATTCAGAGAGCTGGGTGGCTGCAGGCCAGACCTGTAACCTTGACTGCAGTGCCCTTTCCGGAGGCTGGCTGTGGTTTTGTGATTATCTAAGGCGCTTGTCATTTCCTGTGCTGGTGGTAACAGGCTGAATGTTTTCCATGTTTTCCAGGTTACCTCACGAAGCTGCTGCAGAACCACACGGCCCAGGCCTGCGACGGGCAGCACCTGAGCCTGCACTGCCCTCGGCACTCCACCATCAGCGTCCAGTCAGCCTTCTATGGGCAGGACCCCCGCATGTGCAGGGCTGGGCAGCCTGGAGCCAGCATGGCAGAGCCCAGGGACTGCGTGGCGCCCACCTCTCTGCAGGTACCACATGTTGTAAATGTTCTCAAGGTACACAATGGTTTCCCTGCCGTTTCTGTGCAAGTGTTCTCAACCTGGAATGAGACAGCTCTGTAGCTATGACACCACCCAAAGTGTTACAGCTGGAAGGGTTTGTCTGGACAGCAGGGGATTACCATGGGATTGTGAGAGCTTTGGAGATTGCCTTCCATTGTGCTGAACCTGGCTTTGGAAACCCCATTCCTAAAGTTCCCTTAAACAGTCTGCTCCTTTCCCTTCAAGGGCTGCCCATGACTGAGCTGACCAGTCCTAATCCATCACACAGGCCCTCCTTGGCCCCAGGGGAGGATACAAGCCCTGGACAGAGCAGAGTTACAAATCCAGCTAATAAGATAAGATGACATGCTGGGTGGCATTTGGCTTGCTGCATGCCTGTCTTCCCTCACTGCAAAGGCACAGCAACAGCTAAACAGCAAATCCAAAGAACTTCTGCAGATACCTGCATTTCTGTGTCTGCCTGATTTGTATCAGCAACATCCTACGGCTTGTTTGCTGGGCCTGCTTCAGTATAACCTAAAAGGATTTATACTTCATCAATTATTACTTTCTGCTGCAGAGACTTTTGTAACAAGGTCTGACTTACCCTGCTGTCAAAAGCTTGCTCCATCTTAGTGAAAAATACCCAGTGTTGTTCCAAATTCAGTAAATCCTTGCAAAAATGAGTAGTCAGTGGAATTGAACATGTTCTGTTTGTTAAACTTGTAAATGCTTTACAGAAGTTTTGATGGAGTTTGCAGCTCCGTTTCTGTCTGTAGGGCACACGTTCCTTCTTGACATCAGGAATGTCTGTTCCCACCACCACTGAGCTGAAGGGTATTATGAAGAGGTTTGGCAGTAAAATCCTCTCTGTAGAAACAGTGTTAGGGCAGTTTTATAAGTGTGGCTCACCCATGATGTACTGCAATTTTTGAGGACATTCCAGACATGACCTGTGGGCCATGTGAAAGTACATCTCTCCACCAAAAACAGCAGGCCAGATGCATCCTTAATGTTATATTGCTGGCTGCAGTAAAGTGGCACCAGCTATTATTTTGGGCTTGTGAGTGCCTTTGTGAGGTCTCCATGGGCAGCTTTTCCCCTGGAATATAATAAACACAGCATGGGGTAACTGTTCTATAAACTACCATCATCATTTGGGCACTGGGGCTGATCAGAGGCAGGAAAGCATTTTGGCAAGGCCATGAATTTGTGTCAGATACAAATGCTTTGCATCTCAGGGAGTTCCAGTTCTGTTACATCTTGTAAAGTGATTTCTTAGAAAAGAGCAGCAGTGACCTCATGCCTCCCTCCCTTCCCTTTGGAATCTGCAGTGTGCACAGCAGCTGATGGGGCCCTGTAGCTGGAGGAAGCACCACAGGCACTCTGTATGCCAGAGAACTCTTGTCAGAGGGCTCATGCAAAGCTGGTCTGGCTGCAGACAGTGACTGCCCCGTGCTATTTTGGAATCACTGTTTGCTTTTGTGGCTCTGCACAGCATCATGACAGGGCTGCTCACATTAGGCAGCAGAAAACACAAACAGATGCACAGGAGATGATTCAGCTCAGGTGCAAACAGAAGGCGACTCAGCAGGGGACAGCTATCTCTATTTACTAAAGATGTAACTCCGTTTCACTGGTCCCTTCCAGAACTATCCCAATCAACGAGGAGTTATTTTTTCTACTTGCAACTCTGTAAAAGGAAAATTGACTGACAAAATAAAGTCTGCTGTGCTTTCCTTCCCTTTTAAACTCTTTAGAGTGCATTTAATGCTGAAATAGTGTTGGATGCATGTCCTCTCTCCCTGCCAATGGGAGCTGCAGGGTCACTGCAATGTGCTGCCAATGTGTGTCACTGCTGCTTGGGAGGGAAGGTTTCCAGTGATGACACAGAGACCCAGCCACTGCCAGCTCTCTCAGCCTGGAAACAGGAATGCAGCTTGTGCCACCACAGTGGGAAATTTGTCATTTGGTCTCTTGGTATCACTGGGACCTCTTCTGATGAGAAAAAAAGCAAAAATTCCCATAGATTTTGAGTGACTACCTGAAACTATCAGAATGGGTTATTACAGTTACTCCTGCTAAGAGTGGGGTGACCTGGAGATAACAAACACCCTCCTTTGTCACAGCCTGCTGGGATTTTAAACACTGTGAATCCTGTGTACAACCACACAGACTATCCAGAAACAGCGTCAGAAAAGCCCTCCTTTAACTGAGTTCTGGAGGCAAATAAGAATTCCTAAATGCACTGCTGCATTTAACCTGGGTGTTTTTAGGTGTTTGGCTTGTGGCTGTGTTAAAAGCTGGACAGACTGGCCCTGGCAATGGTTTCATGTTTTCTGCAGCTGCAGCTCCAAGAGCACAGCTGGAGTGGGAGCACCAGTGTGAGCAGTGCAGGCACTCAGTCCTTTTGCCACACAACACTTTGTGTATGACACTGCTGACCTGCTGTGCTCTGCTGCCACTCCCAGGGAGGCTGCACTGTCAGGACCAGGATCTATTGCTGGGCCAGTGAATTTGGAGGAGATATGGCCTTAGAACAGCACTGAAAACACCCCACAAAACCAGACAGGGAGGCTGAGGATACACTTGCACACCTGTGCTGTCCAATCACACCAATTCTGGAATTTGCTGGTGCCAAGTCAAGTGAATACCTGATAACGTGTGTAACTGCAAGCCAGAAGGAAGTGTCCCGTGGGCAGGATGTCCCACACACGGCTTACAGCTTGAGTGGCACCTGTCACTAGTCAGACTCTTCCAAGTGAAGGTTATTTACAGAGCGTGTTCAGGCCCACGTAAGCAGAGCAAGAAGTGGTTAAGAAGACATCCTTTCTGTTGCTTTCCCTGGCCATTGCACTCCCATAAATGTGCCCAGGAGTGCCCCAGTGCCTCAGGTGTGACAGCTGGGGCTCTGCGTGTCTCCCTGTGCTCTGGCTCTGCACTGTCGAGGCTGGGGTGGCACTCAGGGCACCTTGGCAGCCTCCCCAGGGGCAGAGGGAGAAGTGACAAACACCAAGTTGGTGACATCCTCATGTGCTGTGAGCGTGGCTGTGATGAATGGTTCCCATAAACTTCCCATGACTCCAAGCCCAGCACAAGCTGTGGCCTGGATCCAATGATGCAGATGTTTCTTGCATGTTTATAGCCTAAAAGCTGTGATTTCTCTCCTGTGTAGAACAAAGTACAACTAAGTGTTTTCATTGCTGTACAGCTTCATACCTTGTTGTCAAGACTATCCTTTTTGCCCATTGTTCTAGAAAGTACTGGATGAATGCCAAAACCTGAGATCCTGCCAGCTCCTTGTCAATAGTCGGGTTTTTGGGCCTGATCTGTGTCCAGGGACCACTAAATTCCTCCTTGTCTCCTTTAAATGCAAACCTAGTAAGTAATCTTTATCAGGAAAATGTGTTTTTCTGCGTGTTTTGTTGCTTGTTTGGGTTAAAATGCCTCTGCACAAGGCTTTGCGTAAATCCATGTGAGGTTTTGGGGCTCTTGGATTGATAACAAATTGTTCTTTTCTACTTTAGCTTAGCTGTCCGTTGTGTTTGCAGCTTCAGGGTGCTTTAATGAGCAGTGCAGTTTAGCAGGGGCAGGTGTCAGACATCAGACTAGAAAGGAAAAATGTCATGGAAATTATTTTCAGTGACATAGCAGTGATAATGTCATATCAGAAAGAGCTGAGCAGCAAAACCACGTGCTTGGGCTAAGGATCCAAATGAAGAAGGTATCCTAGGGAGGAATATGCAAAAAAGACTTAAGGAGCGGGGCCCAAAGCTTTCAAAGATTGAAAAATACCTCCCGTGTATGGAATAATGGCCAGAAGATACATGTGCTGACTTGGGTAGAGGCCTTTATTGTAGAATCACCTGTGCTCTGTGCAGGTATTCCATGCTGAATGTGAAGGGACAAATCCTGCCTCAAAGGGAATCCACTTGGTAAACACGAGGAAGGGGAAGGACGATTAAGATAATCCCGATGAGGTTTCCCCTCCTGGTGGTTTGTAATCGTTCTCATTGTTGCTGTGGTATGTGAGAACGAGCTCCAGTAGCCCGGGGGCTCAGCTCTTCCCAGTGAATTCCCGCTGTGGCTGCAGCGGGTCCCAAAGAAAACAGCTGGGTGATGATTTATGGGCGGGTTCGCCAGCCAACACAGAAACACCGACCTCAGAGAAGCACGAAGGGGTTTGCTTTGATCAGGGCACTCAGACAGATATCAGGGGCAGGACAGGAGCAGGTGGCAAGCAGACTGAAGGGCCAGCTCACCATGGAAAGTGGAAGCCAGAGCAGAGAGATGGAGTGGAACAGGCAGATGTTACCTTTGGTAAAGCACTGACTCAGGAACTCCCAGGGAGATACACTGGGACAATCATTAGGGGGGGAAAATGCATGAATTTAAAATTTTCATTATCTGTTTTATTATATCAATAGTTTAATAGTTTTTGTATATTGCAATTACAATATTGTAGATGAATAGTCCATTATTAATAGATGGATTTGAATATCATAGCAGTGTCTGTGTCATTAGAAATCTCTTTTTGCTAATCAAAAGTGAATTGGGACCCTGTTCATTACTTTCAGAAGCTGCTCAATATTTTTTCCCGTGGGAGATGAGCTTCTTTGAGTATATAGTATTTTCTGTGATCTGAATTTTTAAAAAGCTGGTCAAAAATGTATTCAACAGCAGCTGCTGCCTTCAGAATTGAGGACTAGTCCAATTCCAGTGTAAATGACATGATTTTTAGTGACAGGAAATTGACATTTGTGGGTAAGATACCAATATTGTTAGTCTTGGCAGTGGAAAACACCCTTGCTCAGGAAATCCCTGCAGGATAACTTCAGGTAAATTTTGCAGTCTCCTTGCCTTCAAGTGGGCACTGAAGCAGTTGTGTAAATCACTTGGGTTTTCAGCTATTTAGAATTATTGTTGCCATGTCTTTGCAGAGATTTATGTTGGGCTCTTCTCCTTGCCTGGTACCACTTGGGGTTATACAAAATTCCACAGCCTCTCCAGCAGAGCCAGGCAAACTCAGGGTCCAGCTGCAGGCTCTCAGTCAGTCCTTGGGCACAGACCCCAGGTTCTGGCCTGTTTATGTGTGCACAGCATGGCATGTGCTTCTGCAGAACTCACAACCTGCAGGAGCTCAAGTATTTTTCAAAATGTTTCCAAAAATGTTTTCAAAATATTTTTCAAAATCACTTTTTTACACTTAAGCTTGTGGCTGTTGATGAGCTCGAATGGAAAACATTGGACTTTTACCAGGACCATGAACCCATTGTTTTATCTGTTCTGTTCTGTTCTGGATGAAACAACAGAGTTTTCATTCATGAGTACAGAGGAGGTTTTTCTCTCCAGCTCCCAAAGAACCAGCATCCACCCTTCACAATAACAATGAGGTTTCCCTTTTCTTCTGCTCAGCTCAGGAATCTCCTTTTCCTGTTTTCACATTTTTGAGGACAGAAAAACTGGAGGAGAATAAACTCTTCTCCCCGACCTTATCTGCAGTAGAAAGGGCTGGCACCACAGCTCAACCAGAAGGATTTAAGAAGGTGGAGTGCCACCAGCAGAGCGGCTGCTCAGGCCAGGAAGAGCCCTGGTGGCCAGGTGGCAGGTTCAAAGCAGGGATGAGCCATAAGGGTGAGCTCAGTGCCTCCCCACCTCTGCTGAGGGCGCTGCCAGGGTGCCTGTGCCAGCTGAGCAAGGGAGGGGGATTATTTCAGGCTCCTAATTCACATCACCTTGCCAGCCAGACTGAAATGAGCCCTTGCTGGATGGTGCCACCCAGGGAAGCACAGTGGCCTTGGTGGAGCAGTGCAGGTACAGCTGAGAGCACTGTGGGGCTGGGATGGGGACCTGTCCTGCCATTGTCCCTGCCATTGTCCCTGCCATTGTCCCTGCCATTGTCCCTGCCATTGTCCCTGCCATTGTCCCTGCCTCGCCCAGCGCTGTCACTGAGCGGTGCCGGGTGACTGAGGCATGAGCAGAATGCAACAGGGTCCCCAGGAGAGACAGGAGGGAAGGGTGAAGCTTCTCTGGCTGAGCAGGAGTGCAAAGAAAGCCAGGAAAGCAGGGAGGCTGTTTCACTGGGAAAGGAGATTGGCAAAATGAGGATTTTCTGTTCTCTTCAAGATGAAGCCACAGGCCCTAGACGGTCACCTGGGCACAATTCATTTGGAAGGAGCTCTCTGCTCTTGACTTTGTGTCTGGCTGCACAGGTGCCACGTGCCACTTCAACAGCATTTGCAGGAAAGCTGTTTCTGTCCTGCTGCTATCTGCTATTAACAGCCCAGCCATTTAAATTGCCTCACGCTATCATATTGCTGTTTGCTTCTACTCCAGCTGAATACAAAACCAAATCAGCATGTGAGAACCAGGAACTGAAGCTCCACTGTCAGGAATCCAAGTTCCTGATCATCTACTCGGCCACCTATGGCAGATGGGCACACGAGGAGAGCGTCTGCTCAACCCAGGCGGAGCACTCACCCCCCTTTGGTATGTCTGGGCACCACCGAGGGATTCTCCAGGCAGGAGCACAGGGAACAGCAACACAGGGGGGCAGAAACTGCAGCTGCAGCAGCAATGGTGTTCTGAAAGCATCTGTGATGGAAAAGTGAGAGAGATTGTTTCTGAAACCCAAGCAAATGGCCCAGTATGAGGGATGAACATAGGGTGAGAAATGCAGCAAAGTAATGCTGTAATTAACTATACTTTCATATAGTTAATCAGCTCTTATTATGATTAGCATCAAAAACTAGTTCCCTTGCCTGTCGTGAATTTAGGTGACAAATAATAAATATCAGCTGTTGGTCTCTCTTCTTCCTCCAGCTTCTGCCAGTGATCAGGTGACCGGAGTGTCAGGATTCTGTGTGTTACTGCTCCTTGTTCTCTGATCCCTGTTTGTGCCAGATGTTCCCTGCATTGGCTGCAGACTGTACACACCTGAGTGTCAGGATTCTGTGTGTTACTGCTCCTCGTTCTCTGATCCCTGTTTGTGCCCGATGTTCCCTGCATTGGCTGCAGACTGCACAGCGGGTCCCTGGGGCAGCATGAGCAGAGCCCAAGGCTGTGGTGGCACACTGGGGAGTTAAATGTCCCTGGGACTTCTCTCTGGCACCCAGTCAGAAATGTCCTGTGTACCTAAGTCTAACTCAATAACAGGTTCAGTGTGACAGCAAGGGCACAAAGGTAACTTTGCACACCATGAGAAGGCCAGCAGATGAGGGTGCTGTTCCAACCCCTTGCTACCACACAGGGAAGGGCTTGCATGACTGACACCAGCCCTGTGCAAAGGCTTAACATTGCTCCTTAGAGACATGCTTTACATGCCTATGACAAGCATCTCTGAACATAAAGAAGAGATCAATAATTCATCTTAAGAGCCTTTTGTCTGCAAGCCAATGTTTCTATTTAGTTACATAGATGCTATTAGAAATTTATTGGCTGAAAATCACAATCTGTTCTTAGACAAGAACCTATTTAATATTGCCAGGTCTGTGTTTCACACCAGCTCTCTTGAGCCTTCACACAGACTTAGCTGTGCCTGTCTGTCCTGTGGAGAACATTTCAGCAGGTCTCTGACAGGCCCCACACCCCCTATGACAGTGGCATTAACAGGTGACACAAGGCAGGGCAGAGCCTCTCTGATCAGGACAGGCTGCCACCACACTCGTGTCTTGCACTTCACTGACCTCTCAAAATCCCTCCCTTGCCTCTAATGCCAGTACTCACAGTCCACAGATCAGAATTCTGCAAACCTTTCCTAAGGATAAAGTTTCCAGGATAAAGAATCTGCAGGAGCAGCAAGCTGTGCTGTGGCCCCTGTGCAGGAGCAGCTGTGCAGCAGCACCCTGGCTGGCACTGGTTCTGAGCTATGGAAAGCAGCCTAGGACAGCAGGAGAGAGCATAAAGCCTGAGACAAACACAAAGCAGGTCTGCAGAAGGTAGATCCTTGTACAGATTTCCTACTGCTTAGTGGAAGTGCTTGGCCTCTTCCTGTGTGGTACCAGGGACTTTCTGCAGGAATTCTGTGGAATTTCCAAGAGCCCCTGTGTGGGGTGGGAGTTCACATTCAGTTATCACAGAAATTTGGCACTTAGGAGCCAGACCCAACTGGCTCCAGATCTCTCTGTCTCGAGCCTGAATCTTATTTCTGTGGTTGTGTAAGCACCTACAGATGTGAGTGGGTGCATGATTAGATTTCTGCAATGACTGTGTACCTTTCTCTCAGAGAAAACAATGGTAATTTCAATGTAATGACTTGGGACAGCTCTTCCCTCCTGAACCAGAACCCATGCACACATTTATGTTTGCACCAAAAGCTGAAGAGCTCCAACACACATCCATTATTGTTTCTGCTCACATTAGTGCAACTCAGCCCAAGGGCAGCACTTAGGCCATTCCAGTTCTTTCTGTGCATCCCACAGAAACTGTGAGGTGACTTTTGTGGCACTGTGCAGAAGAGAAGTTACCCACAGGTCCCAGACAGGCCCAGAAAGTCTCTGGTGAGCTCCAAAGGTTTGCATCTCTCCATACCTGACAGGGTCCTGCCAGATGCGCTGGGTATTGATGGGATGCTCCTCGAGATGGTGGCTGCCTGCTGGCGTGTGTGATAGCAGGGACAGACGGCAGCTTTGGGCTGGGACAGACAGACAGCAGCTTGGGCTGGGACAGACAGACAGCAGCTTGGGCTGGGACAGACAGACAGCAGCTTTGGGCTGGGACAGACAGACAGCAGCTTTGGGCTGGGACAGACGGCAGCTTTGGGCTGGGACAGACAGACAGCAGCTTTGGGCTGGGACAGA